CCTGGGGCTTCCTCCTGGGCCTCCTGTGGCCTCCTGGACCCCACCTGGGGCTTCCTGAAGCCTCTTGGGTGGCCGTTGGGGCCCCCCCAAAATGGGGGGGCCACAAGAGCAGGAAAAATCAACGAATCGACACCGGATGTGTATTAACTTGACACGTTCTGATAGGGGGCCTCCTGGGGCCTCCTGGGAGCCTCCTGGGAATCTCCTGCGGACCCCTGGGGCCTGTCCTGGGCGTCCTGCGGCCTCCTGAAGCTCTCTGGGGCCTCCTGGGGCTCCCAGGGTCCCAGGGGGGATATGTAACATGTGGTCTTCTGGGCTCCAGGCTGGACCACCTCTTGCGCAGCATCTGAGAGCTCAGAGTTGCGAGAATGTCTTGTGCGAAACGGGCCGACCACCTTGCGCACGGCATCTCAAAAGCTCAGAGTTGCGAGGATGTCTCAGGCGAGATGGGCCGGACCACCTCGCGCAGGGCATCTCGGAGCCCAGAGTTGCGAGGATGTCTCCAGCGTAACGGGCTGGACCACCTCGCGCGCGGCATCTCGGACCCCAGAGTTGCGACGATGTCTCGGGCGAAACGTGCTGCGAGGCAGTCTCAGGCGAAACGGGCCGGACCACCTCGAGCGCGGCGTCTCAGAGCTCCGAGTTGCGGGGGCCTCCTGGGGCCTCCTGGGACCTCCTGGTGACCTCCTGGGGCTTCCTCCTGGGCCTCCTGTGGCCTCCTGGACCCCACCTGGGGCTTTCTGAAGCCTCTTGGGGCCCCCAGGGGGGAATATCTAACATGTGGCCGTCGGGGCCCCCCCAAAGGGGGCACAAGAGCAGGAAAAATCAACGAATCGACACCGGATGTGTATTTTGAGGGAGTTTCTGTGGAACTCACGTCATCCTCACCCCCGGCGCGAAGAGCACGAGCCCAGAGCGGCCTCCGGCACCGTTTCCGGACAGATCCGGTGGATCCGGTGACGAATCCCAAACCGGCGCCCTCGCTTGAGACATCCTCACAAAACCGGCCCCGGGGGAGGTGCCCAGAGGAGCCCAGAGCGGCCTCCGGCACCGTTTCCGGACAGATCCGGTGGATCCGGTGACGAATCCCAAACCGGCGCCCTCGCTTGAGACATCCTCACAAAACCGGCCCCGGGGGAGGTGCCCAGAGGGGCCCAGAGCGGCCTCCGGCGCCCTCGCTTGAGACATCCTCACAAAACCGGCCCCGGGGGAGGTGCCCAGAGGAGCCCAGAGCGGCCTCCGGCACCGTTTCCGGACAGATCCGGTGGATCCGGTGACGACTCCCAAACCGGCGCCCTCGCTTGAGACATCCTCACAAAACCGGCCCCGGGGGAGGTGCCCAGAGGAGCCCAGAGCGGCCTCCGGCACCGTTTCCGGACAGATCCTGGATCCGCTGGATCCGGTGACGAATCCCAAACCGGCGCCCTCGCTTGAGACGTCCTCACAAAACCGGCCCCGGGGGAGGTGCCCAGAGGAGCCCAGAGCGGCCTCCGGCACCGTTTCCGGACAGATCCGCTGGATCCGCCGACGAATCCCAAACCGGCGCCCTCGCTTGAGACATCCTCACAAAACCGGCCCCGGGGGAGGTGCCCAGAGGAGCCCAGAGCGGCCTCCGGCACCGTTTCCGGACAGATCCGGTGGATCCGGTGACGAATCCCAAACCGGCGCCCTCGCTTGAGACATCCTCACAAAACCGGCCCCGGGGGAGGTGCCCAGAGGAGCCCAGAGCGGCCTCCGGCACCGTTTCCGGACAGATCCGGTGGATCCGGTGACGAATCCCAAACCGGCGCCCTCGCTTGAGACATCCTCACAAAACCGGCCCCGGGGGAGGTGCCCAGAGGAGCCCAGAGCGGCCTCCGGCACCGTTTCCGGACGGAGATCCGGTGGATCCGGTGACGAATCCCAAACCGGCGCCCTCGCTTGAGACATCCTCACAAAACCGGCCCCGGGGGAGGTGCCCAGAGGAGCCCAGAGCGGCCTCCGGCACCGTTTCCGGACGGATCCGGTGGATCCGCTGGATCCGGTGACGAATCCCAAACCGGCGCCCTCGCTTGAGACATCCTCACAAAACCGGCCCCGGGGGAGGTGCCCAGAGGAGCCCAGAGCGGCCTCCGGCACCGTTTCCGGACAGATCCGTGGATCCGCTGGATCCGGTGACGAATCCCAAACCGGCGCCCTCGCTTGAGACATCCTCACAAAACCGGCCCCGGGGGAGGTGCCCAGAGGAGCCCAGAGCGGCCTCCGGCACCGTTTCCGGACAGATCCGGACAGATCCGGTGGATCCGCGCCCCGGGGGAGGTGCCCAGAGGAGGAATGAGGAGGAGGAGGAGGAGGAGGAGGAGGAGGAGGAGGAGGAGGAGGAGGAGGAGGAGGAGGAGGAGGAGAGAGATGATGGAGCTGCGGGGTGGAGGAGGACAGACGGAGGCAAGAGAAGGATGGAGGAGGAGGAGGGAGGAGGAGGAGGAGGAGGAGGAGGAGGAGGAACCTCATCCTCACCCTCGCCAACAAGCGCACGCACCTTCTTCTATATACAGAAACTCCCGATCAACCGCAGAGCGGCCGGCTAGTAACTTGACACGTTCTGATAGGGGGCCTCCTGGGGCCTCCTGGGAGCCTCCTGGGAATCTCCTGCGGACCCCTGGGGCCTGTCCTGGGCGTCCTGCGGCCTCCTGAGCTCTCTGGGGCCTCCTGGGGCTCCCAGGGTCCCAGGGGGGATATGTAACATGTGGTCTTCTGGGCCCCCAGGCTGGACCACCTCTTGCGCGGCATCTGGGAGCACAGAGTTGCGAGAATATCTTGTGCGAAACAGGCCGGACCACCTTGCGCACGGCATCTCAGAGCTCAGAGTTGCGAGAATGTCTTGTGCGAAACGGGCTGGACCACCTCGCGCAGGTCTCAGAGCTCAGAAGTTCGAGGATGTCTCAGGCGGGCTCCCAGGGTCCCAGGGAGGATATGTAACATGTGGTCTTCTGGGCCCCCAGGCTGGACCACCTGCGCGGCATCTGGGAGCTCAGAGTTGTGAGAATGTCTTGTGCGAAACAAGCCGGACCACCTTGCGCACGGCATTTCAGAGCTCAGAATTGCGAGGATGTCTCAGGCGAGACGGGCCGGACCACCTCGCGCAAGGCATCTCAGAGCTCAGAAGTTCGAGGATGTCTCAGGCGAAACGGGCCGGACCACCTCTCGCGCGGCATCTCCGAGGTTAGAGTTTCGAGGATGTCTCACGCGAAACGGGCCGGACCACCTCGCGCAAGGCATCTCAGAGCTCAGAGTTTCGAGGATGCCTCAGACGAAGCGGCCCGGACCACCTCTCGCACGGCACCTCGGGGCTCAGAGTTTCGAGGATGTCTCACGCGAAACGGCCCGGACCACCTCTCGCGCGGCGTCCCGGAGCGCAACTCTTCGAGGATGTCTCAAGCGAAACGGCCAATCCCGGCCAACTCAGAAACGAGAGTTGTGAGGATGTCTCAAGCGAAACGGCCCGGACCATCAAATTTTTGTGAGGATGTCTCTGCTCCGACTTCCCTCGGCCGGAGTTAGCTTCTATCACAACAGCACCCCGTTCAGCAAGCTGTTTGGGGAAAAACCAGCCGCGCCCGATCTGTGTAGCTTCTTGGCGAAGCAAGCTGCATGCTTAGGGATAGGGGGAGCATGGGTAGAAAGACCCCACCAGCACAGCCCAGAGCCCCGCAACCAACTCGAGCCGTGGATCCGCTTCGACGGTGCCAGACGCAGACGGGAAACGGAGCGAGGCCGCCGTTGGGATCGCTGCGCGACGGCAGGAGGGGGGGGCAGCAGAGGTCGGTGGCAGGCGCGAGGGGCCCCTCCGTCCCGAGACCCTCGTCCGGGATCTAGCCCTGTTTTTTTTTCCCCCCATTTTTTTGTTTGCCCCGGGAGGGGGGCCCTCCTCCTCGGTGGCAGCGGCAAAAGGGGCCTCGAGCGCCCCCGCTCTCGTGGCTCCCTGCGCCTTTTGCTCGGCCTCGCGGGCCGACGTCTCTTCTGCCCCCTCCGTCGCGGGGCGGAGGCTCCTCTCGGCCGAGGCGACGGTGAGCACCGCCTGCCGCGAGCGGGCCTGGCTGGCCTGCAACCCTGCACTCGAGCGCTGCACGCCGCCGGCATGGGCTCCCCCACGGGACCGCTTCGCGGACACCGTGCGACCTGAGTCCTGAACCCTCTCCTTCCCTCCTCCTCCTCCTCCTCCTCCTCCTTCCTCCTCCTTCCTCCTCCTCCTCCTCCCCCTGCCCGTGCCCCCGCCCGTTCCCCTCCGAGCGGAAGAAAGGGTACCGATGCCGCCACTCCACGGACCTCCCGTGGGGTGTGTGCTGACCAGGATTTCGCGGCGAATCCGGCCGTGGCGACAAGGGGCTCCCAGGAGGCCCAAAAAGGCGAAATCGACGGAAGAGCAGCCGCATCGGTACTCTTTCCAACTCTCATCCCCTTCCTTATGAAGAATCTCGCATCATCGCACCACACGGCGCGCCCAACTGGTCTGTGGCGACGAAGGCGATCCCGAAGGACCCTAAAGATGCAAAGCCTCGATCCTCGAGCCCCTACGTAATCCTGGGACAACGACAACGACGACGAGTCCGCACAAAGAAACGGTCCAGCTGGGCCTGTTCTGGCGTCCAACCGCTGGCAACTTCCCATCAAGGACCAACTTCTGACGGCCCCAAGGCCCGACACGGGCCTCCGCATGCCGAACACGATAAAACCGATGCGCGCGGGGACAAATTCTCGACGTCGGCGCTGTTCGCAGGGGCGCAAGAGGCCACGAGGGTCTGGGCCCCCGCTCGGGGCCCCAGGGCTCGGTCCTCCCGAAACACCGCCGCGTGTTCCCCCGAAGCGCTGGCCGCGGCTCTTCCCTTTGGTGGTGGAGCTCGACAGACATTTCGGCGGAACTGGGGGCCGAGAGCTTCCCCTCCTCGTCCTCCTTCTCCTCCTCGTCCTCCTCCTCCTCCTCCTCCTCCTCCTCCTTTCGGCTTTTCGTGGTGGACAGTGTCCCCACGAAGAGAACTACAATGAGGGCGACGGCGGCGCCGCCGCCGCCCTCCGCATGGCCGCCGAGCTCGACAGACATTTCGGCCAGTGCCCCCACGAAGAGAACTACAATGAGGGCGACGGCGGCGCCGCCGCCGCCCTCCGCATGGCCGCCGAGGGTGGGGGGTGGGGGAGGAAACACCGAGTTCGACTCAGCAACGCGTCGCCGACGTATCGGCGATCTCGGGAACGCTCTCGGCGAGGCGAGGGCGCTGGGAGGCACCCCGAAGCACGGCAGCCGCCGAGAACCTACGAGCATGTCCGAAAACCTCGAACCTTGCATGTTCGCCCCCCCCCCCCCCCCCTGAGCCTGTGCCCCCTCTAGCGTTGCCCCTGAGCTAGATGGGGTCCGAATAGATGGTGTCGGAGGATCGTGCCACATCGCCGATGCACCGGCGATGCATCGCCGACGTCGGCGATGCATCGACGCCGACGGCGTGGAGAAAATCGGGCCCCACACCGAGCCGCATCGCAGCTGCATCGGCGATGCGGCGCGATGACCTGCCCGTGGCCGCTCTTTCGGGCCTCCCTGACGATTCAGTTCCTCCGACTGCGAGTGCGTGTGGTAAGCGGTGCCGCGTGTGGACAGCGCTGTCCGTGCGACGCGCGCGCAAGCGTTACCGCAACCGTCGGAGCACGAGCGCCGGAGCGCCGGGGACCCCGCCATCCAGACGGGGGGGATCAGCAGGAAGAGGAAGGCTGGCATGGGGCAAGCGGGAAGCCTGGAGGCCTAGAGTCGGACCGAGGCCAGAAAATTACATCTTTCAAGAACATGAAACCCTCCGCCTGCCAAAACAACGAGAACATCCAAGGGTACCCTCCCCAGGGTGCACAAAAACATCCAACGAACACGAATAACACTAAGATGCCCTCCCCGAACCGACCTCCATCTTCTACCTCGGTTCGACTGTAGATCCACGGACAACGACGACGGCGGACGGACGGCGTGGACGGTGCAGCAAGCACCGCACGAGGGCCAGCGCGGTCACCTCGCACGGCAGGCTGGGGCTCGCCCGAGCACGCCCCCCCCCGCGCGTGCGGAGCAGCCGCCGCTCGCGCATCCACGCCGCCGCCGCCGATGACGACGACGACGCCGACGCCGACGCCGATGCCGACGCCGACGCCGATGCCGACGCTGACGACGCTGACGACGCTGACGATGCCGCGGACGCCGACGCCGACGCCGACGCCGATGGCGGCCCGCTGATGGCCCACCCGGCGGCCCCCGAAGCGCGCCTCTGCTGGGGGCTGGGCCGCCGAGCGCCACCGCCGGGGCGCTCCTGGAGTGCAGCAGCGGGGTGCCGTCGGGGTTCGCGGCCCTCGCGGGCGCGCTGGACGGAAGAAGAATGTAAGACGGAACACCTTGACATAGGCATCTTGGCTGTTGCATTCTCCTCCTCCTCCTCCTCCTCCTCCTCCTCCTCCCCCTCCTCCTCCTCCTCCTTTCCCTCTTCCTCCTCCTCCTCCTCTTCCTCCTCCTCTTCCTCCTCCTCCCCGTCCCTCCTCCTCCTCCTCCTCCTTTCCACCTCCTCCACATCATCATCATCATCATCATCATCATCATCATCATCATCATCCTCCTCCTCATCCTCATCCTCATCCTCATCCTCATCATCATCATCATCATCATCATCATCATCATCATCACCATCATCATCATCATCATAATCATCATCATTATCATCATCACCACCATCATCGTCATCATCACCATCAGCATCATCAGCATCAGCGTCAACATCAACATCATCATCATCAGCATCATCATCTTTGTCAGCATCATCATCATCGCCCTCCTGTCCACCTCTTCCTCCTCCTCCCCCTCCTCCTCCTCCCCCTCCTCCCCTTCCCCTCTCCTCCTCCTCTTACTCCTCCTCCTCCTCCTCCTCCTCCTCCTCATCATCATCATCATCATCATCATCATCCTCTTCCTCCTCCTCCTCCTCCTCCTCCTGCTCGTTCGTTCGTTCCTGAAACAAAAGGTCGAAGCCACGAGGAGGATGGGAACAGAAGCGACGAGGAACCCAAGAGACGCCCAAGAGACCCCAAAACCAGAACGGGAGCCCGCCAACGCACCCCCCCAAGAGGGGAGAAACAAGGAGGAAGAAAGAAAGAGCAGGAAGGGAGGGAGGCCGCAGGGGGGGGGGGCGTAGGCAGGAACCCGACGACGACAGGACACCAGGGACCCCCCAAGGCCCAGCCGCGGACCCCCCAGGACCACCAGCAAACCAGCAGCCGCGCCCAGCGCACCTAAGAGCTACCGCGCAGCTGCGTTCCCGGCTCAGGTCACCTGCCCACGGCCCACTCGCTACAAACACTCACGAGTAACTCCAGCTGGCACGCACGCCTGGGTCAAACAAGCACTGTTTCATTCCAGCTGGCATGCGCGTAGAAGTCGACGCAACAGCTATAGACCCGTTGAAGATGAGGAATGCGAATGGGCAACACGCGGAACCGGCGTCGCAAAAGCCTCCTGGAATGCAGCAGTCTCCGACCAATTGCGTGAAATCGGCCGGGCCTTGAGTAAGGCTCTATTGACAGCCGTCAGACGAACCTGCATGTGCTCGAAAGCCGGATCTGCAGCAGCCGACTCGCTCTGGGAGGACAGCCCTGGCCGCGCCAATGGCCGAGATGGCCTTGGTCTCCTCTTCTTTGAAACGCGCCAACACGGTCGTTATGTCAAAGTGCGTCGCCTGGCTCAGGTCAGCTGGGAGGGTACTCGCAGCTAAGGAGGACAAGAACTGGACCTGGCCCTCGGCCGCGTGAAATCTCTGACGGAAGCCGAACATGACTGGGAACGGCCCTTCAGGTTCATGAGCGCCGCTCGGTGCCGCAGCAGGCTGGGCAACTGTGCTCTCCTCTTCGCCAGGCTCGACATGAACATTCTGCTTTACAACAGGGCCGGAAACGATGCACTTCTCCTCTGACAACATGTGGGCGCCGCTTTTCTCCTCAGGAAACAGGGGAGCAGCGCACTCCTCCTCTGCAAGGATGGCCTGGCCAACGTCATCACCGACGTCTTGGCCTTCTCGCATTCTCCTGGTCCAAGCGCACCGGTCCGGCGGAGAGCCTCCTCCAAGGCAGCTCCGATCCGAGTGCGACTGCAACCGCGATGCGACAGCGCCGAAAACTCTCTCAAGAGCTGCTGGGCAGCGCGCACTGAAGCACAAGCGGCTTGCGCACGGCGTGCAGCCGCAGTGCGCCGGGGGCACACCGCCGCAAACCATGGCGGCGCCATGAGCACAAGTCGGAAAGCGGGGGAAAGGAAGCAGGGAAGCAGGGGGCAGCGTCCGAAGAGGACGCCTGGCGCCGGCTCGCGACCGCCGGGGGGGGGGCGACCTGAGCCCGCGCTCTCCTGCTGCTCCTCCTTCTCCTCCTCCTTCTCCTCCTCCTTCTCCTGCTCCTCCTCCCCCTCCCCCTCCCCCCTCCTCCTCCTGCTGCTCTTCCTCCTCCTCCTCCTCCTCTTTCCTCCTCCTCTTTCCTCCTCCTCCTCCTCCTGCTCGTTCGTTCGTTCCTGAGACAAAAGGGTCGAAGCCACGAGGAGGATGGGAACAGAAACGACGAGGAACCCAAGAGACGCCCCAGAGACCCCAGAACCAGAACGGGAACCCGCCAACGCACCCGCCCAAGAGCGGAGAAACAAGGAGGAAGAGAGAAAAAACAGGAAGGGAGGGAGGCCGCAGGGGGGGGGCGTAGGCAGGAACCCGACGACCACAGGACACCAGGGATCCCCAAAGGCCCAGCCGCGGACCCCCCCAAGACCACCAGCAAACCAGCAATTCGAGCCGCGCCCAACGCACCTAAGAGCTACCGCGCAGCTGCGTTCCCGGCTCAAGTCACCTGCCCACGGCCCACTCGCTACAAGCACTCACGAGTAACTCCAGCTGGCACGCACGCCTGGGTCAAACAAGCACTGTTTCATTCCATGCGCGTAGAAGTCGACGCAACAGCTATAGACCCGTTGAAGGTGAGGAATGTGAATGGGCAACACGTGGAACTGGCGTCGCACCAGCCTCCTGGAATGCAGCAGTCTCCGACCAATGGCGTGAAATCGGCTGGGCCTTGAGTAAGGCTCTTTTGACAGCCTTCAGACGAACCTGCATGTGCTCGAAAGCCGGATCTGCAGCAGCCGACTCGCTCTGGGAGGACAGCCCTGGCCGCGCCAATGGCCGAGATGGCCTTGGTCTCCTCTTCTTTGAAACGCGCCAACACGGTCGTTGTGTCAAAGTGCGTCTCCTGGCTCAGGTCAGCTGGGAGGGCACTCGCAGCTAAGGAGGACAAGAACTGGACCTGGCCCTCGGCCGCGTGAAATCTCTGACGAAAGCCGAACATGACTGGGAACGGCTCTGCAGATTCATGAGCGCCGCTCGGTGCCGCAGCAGGCTGGGCAACTGTGCTCTCCTCTTCGCCAGGCTCGACATGAACATTCTGCTTTACAACAGGGCCGGAAACGATGCACTTCTCCTCTGACAACATGTGGGCGCCGCTTTTCTCCTCAGGAAACCGGGGAGCAGCGCACTTCTCCTCTGCAAGGATGGCCTGACCAACGTCATCACCCACGTCTTGGCCTTCTCGCATTCTCCTGGTCCAGGCGCACCGGTCCGGCGGAGAGCCTCCTCCAAGGCAGCTCCGATCCGAGTGCGACTGCAACCGCGATGCGACAGCGCCGAAAACTCTCTCAAGAGCTGTTGGGCAGCGCGCACTGAAGCACAGGCGGCTTGCGCACGGCGTACAGCCGCAGTGCGCCGGGGGCACACCGCCGCAAACCATGGCGGCGCCATGAGCACAAGTCGGAAAGCGGGGGAAAGGAAGCAGGGAAGCAGGGGGCAGCGTCCGAAGAGGACGCCTGGCGCCGGCTCGCGACCGCCGGGGGGGGGCGACCTGAGCCCGCGATCTCCTCCTGCTCCTCCTTCTCCTCCTCCTTCTCCTCCTCCTTCTCCTGCTCCTCCTCCCCCTCCCCCTCCCCCCTCCTCCTCCTGCTCCTCTTCCTCCCTCCTCCTCCTCTCCTCCCCTCCTCTCCTCCTCCTTTCCTCCTCCTCCTCTCCTCCTCCTCCTCTCACCTCTCCTCCTCCCTCCTTCCTCCTCCGCTCTCCTCCTCCCTCCTCCACTGCTTATTACTAGCCGGCCGCTCTGCGGTTGATCGGGAGTTTCTGTATATAGAAGAAGGTGCGTGCGCTTGTTGGCGAGGGTGAGGATGAGGTTCCTCCTCCTCCTCCTCCTCCTCCTCCTCCTCCTCCTCCTCCATCCTTCTCTTGCCTCCGTCTGTCCTCCTCCACCCCGCAGCTCCATCATCTCCTCCTCCTCCTCCTCCTCCTCCTCCTCCTCCTCCTCCTCCTCATTCCTCCTCTGGGCACCTCCCCCGGGGCGCGGATCCACCGGATCTGTCCGGATCTGTCCGGAAACGGTGCCGGATGCCGCTCTGGGCTCCTCTGGGCACCTCCCCCGGGGCCGGTTTTGTGAGGATGTCTCAAGCGAGGGCGCCGGTTTGGGATTCGTCACCGGATCCAGCGGATCCACCAGATCTGTCCGGAAACGGTGCCGGAGGCCGCTCTGGGCTCCTCTGGGCACCTCCCCCGGGGCCGGTTTTGTGAGGATGTCTCAAGCGAGGGCGCCGGTTTGGGATTCGTCACCGGATCCAGCGGATCCAGCGATCCACCGGATCTGTCC